GCCTGAATGCAAGGCATTGTAGCAGAGTAGATGATGCAAATGACTCTGACTGTCCGACTCGTTGGAAAACAGTTGTTTTTTATTAAGCGTTATATGTCAGATTCGAAAAACTCTAGTATAGATCTTCAGAACTTCAGGGACTATAAACTTTAAAGTAGTCCAACTGCTGCAATTACACATAAATGATTCGATCACGACTCCTGTCACAGTCACTGATATCACCACTTGACCACTGTGTTTTATGGTGTGGCTAGCTAATCAATCAAGTAAGCCAGTCCATGTGTTTTTTTTCGTTGAAACGATCACCACTCTGCCAGTGTCAGCGACTGACTGCAGCATTTGGGGCATCTGTGCGAAGTGGGCTTGCTTGACTCCAGTGTGGACCGACGGATTGTCAGGCCATGACAACTCCTATTACGACCTTGTTGGATGGAGGTGTCCCAATCACATCCGGTGCAGACACATCGCATGATGATGATTCTAAGAGCACAGGCAATTCCTCCAGATCTCGCCCCAAAGCTAAGACTGCAGCGGGGAAGACTCGGGCTCGGAAAGGTGCTGCAACAGTGCTGTCGTCTTCGTTCACTTGTTGGGCCAAGACACCTGTGCCTGTGGATGTTAACTTAGCAATGCTTCAATTGTTTCAGTATTCTATTGTATGATTTTGTTTTAAATATTTGTTTGTATTTATTTATTTATTTTTTTGGGTTCAAACCCTTATTATTTAAGTTAAGGACAGTCACCTCCTGGACATCATGGAGGCATGCGAACCAACCAAGTGCAAGAGAGAATTGACAAATGGCATCAAGTCGGAGCTGGTACGGCTGGCATTCTATGGAATGTTCAGGACGCCAATGTTCTCACCTTTGGAAACGTGACTGGGCATTATCTTATGTTTTTGTTCTTGGTTCATTTTAGCTATATATATATATATATATATTAATAATAACTGTACTGTACTGGTTACTGCTTATTAAAGGTTGACAAATATTTGTTTTGTCAGTCAGTCAGTCAGTCAGTCAGGTTCCACAAGAGTGACTTGATTGACCACATGAAGAACCGCTACATTGAATGTGGCAAGACGTTGAGCACGTGTTCTTTGATGGACCTGATCAGAAAAGTCGAGATCGAGATGTCCAAGAACCAGCAGTTTGACCTGCTCTCATTGAGCTACTTAGCAACATTGAAAGTTTTAATACTATTCATTTCATCTTGAAGAGTCTAAGAATCAGAAGCTGTTAAACATTACACACCAACTTCGGGCCATCTTTGACAGTGGGGAATACATTGAATCTTGTTATGTTGATTTGACAAGTTCTGAATAATTAGACTCAGACACAGTCAAACCCCAATTGAAGATTCCAACAGTGACTCTGACGGTGGCGGGTCCAGGGTGACCAGTCAGTCATCATAATCATAAGGTTCTGGTGAGTGGAAGATCCAGTGCAAGGGCTTTGTCAAGGACTTGGGCAAGCCAGCGCCTGGACATGACTGGGAGATCCGCAAGAATGCCCAGGGAATCCCACTGGTCACGGACACAGTCACTACCAAATGGTGCATATCATTCTTTCAGGAGGCGCAGGCAAATACTACTCCTCAAGCACCAGTGCCTGCGGCTCTGCCAGACTTGAATGTCACAACCACAGACATTGCAGAGGCAGGGAAGGAAGATGGTGCACGGACTGGGCTTCCGGGTGTCACTTCATCCGGTGCTGTGGAAGAATTAGATTTGTATTCTTTTTGTTTGGAGCCGGGGGTCAGCTTTGGATTCAATAAGAAATTACTATATTTAACAGCTGTGAACTTTTATCATTGACAATTGACTTGAGGCGGAGCGGATACTGAACTGACAGCCGTTTGCTACTGCGACAAGACTCGAGGGACATGCCCTGACTGCAAGAAGGGGTTCAATGAGGAGGTGGCAGCCAACCGAGAGCCTCGCAAGATCAATATCAAGCAAGTGCGGCTCGACTCTGACCCTCCTCTGAAGATGTCGCAATCAGGCGGGGCAGATCAAAATATGTTTTATTCACTACACGCAGCAGTGACAGTGACATGGCTGCACACAGACACACTCAAAATCACAGACATTAAAATCATCAGACTATTAATTGTGTTTGCTTATTTTGTATTATATTATTTGTGGTGGACGCAATGACTAATAATAATGATGTATTGGCACTGGCGAGGCGCAACCCCGGCACGCCAACCACTGAATGCGATCACTGAAGAGCCAATGACAAAGCGTGTGCCTGTCTGCGCATGTGGTGAGACACGCGCTAGCTGTGACCAATGTCACAAGGGATACCTGGATGAAACATTGGCTGGCAGGGAGCCGCAATTCAAAACTGTGGAGATTCCTACAAAGCGTGTGCCTGTTTGTGAGTGTGGCGAGCCCAGGGCTGAGTGTGCTACGTGTGGCAAGGGATATGTTCAACGGACTCTACGCGGTGAAGTCCCCAAGTTCAAAACCGTTCCCGCAGATTCCACAGTGGTTGCTTCAAAGGCACCAGGACAGACTTCATCGTCGTTTGTCATCGTCGTTTTTACTTAAAACCATATTTCAGAAAGATGCACCTGAATAATAGACATAAACATACTGACAAATATTGTTTAGTATTATATTGTACGGGGTCAAAAACTTAGCGTATTACGTACTTACTTGCACTCAACGCATTAGGAGAGAATCTGAATCAGACCTCGCCTTCCTCTGGAGTGAACACTACATCAGCGCCGGCCGACACTGCCTTTGGAGCGAACAAGACAGTGCCGGGCGCGACTGATTTGAATGATGATGATAAGAAGCGGAGTGCACCAGAGACAGGACAGTTGACTAAAAAGAGGTGTCTATATTGTGGTTTACCTTTGAGTTCTTCTGAAACATATTTTATTTTAAAATTTAGTCACCAAAGCTATTGTGATATGTTAGGCCGAGTCGTGAGTGACGAGTTGATTCATTAGCCAAGCTGACTCTGACCAGGACTGACTGAATCTGAATCTGCTGCAAAATCAGCGCGTGTGGAGCCCGCGCCTGCAGCAGCAGCAACCTCATCTGGACCAGGACAAGGCAGACACATTTACTAAACACTATCTGGAAAACCAATTGTTAGTTCATTGATGGTTGATCAATACCGAAAAACATTGGCGTTGGCAATGGTGTGTGATGTTGGGTTAGTCACTGTTAGTGTTGACACGTTTGTGCTACTGACTGTTGTGTTGTAGTGTTTGCCAAGATTTCCATTAAATTTTTTTGCTTCCTTTGCGTGCCAGGCGCAGCCGAGCCGAAGAAGAGTGAAGCCACTGCCAAGGCGAAGGCGGCAGGAGCTCCACCACCGATGTTCAGGCAGAGCAGGAAGACCTGAGCATTGTGGGCTGCAGTACTCCAGTCATTGTCACTGGAATAGTTTTGTTTGTATTGCTGGATGGTCTCTCCAGGATTCAGGATTTCAGTCCATCATTGATTTAGTAATATTCATGAAACATTGTCCGCTCTTAAAGACACGAGTCATCATGAGTGGGTGAGAATTCCAGTACTTGGGCCCAGAGGGAACCCTGTTCATATACATATGAGTTCAAAAGAGTCTCCAAGAGTAGATTAGAGTGGGAATGAGCTGGGAGTAGCTAATCACAAGCAGAATGAGGGGGATACCGCGTTCCCCATGAGCACACGAGGAGCTCATGAGTAGGTCATGAGGGCTCAAGAGGACTAGTATCCCTGCCATACCCACATGTGTGTGTGTATAAATAATCTTGTGAACAGTGTACCCGCAATGTCTAAATCCAGGTTCGCTTAGCCGGTGTGCGCTCGAAGACCTGCTGAGTCAGAATCACAGTGGAAGAAACCCTCTGACTCCCCCAGTCTGTCAGCTAAGGTCAATTCCTATTGCTAATACCAACCAATCAATCAAATGACCAAACCAGTACATTGTGAACAACCAGTTGGACAATGTTCCAAATTTTGCAGTCCATTGCCATCTGTACTGTATTGATACACTGTTGGGAATCTAAACCAAGTTAAAGCAAACCCTGCGCGTGATTCAATCCCCAAATCATATTCTAACAAACATGCAGAGTCTTAGAAAAAATGATGCTTTGAATTCAGTGGTTCACCACAATTCCACCAAAAACGTGTGAGCAGTGGGAAGATTGTCCAGCAGGCCGCGTTTGACCGGGCAAGAAGATCTATGACTTTCTGCCTTTTTGACAACTTTTCTAATACTTAGTCAGGCGTCACTGACAGTCTGGTTCATTAGTGTAAAACGTGAAATAATTGTTGTTCAGGTGTTGATTCACTCGACCCGTCACTGCCGCTGGCAGACATACAGCGTTTGTTGTACCATGTCGGAACCACGCTAGTCATTAGGTCAATTAGCCGGTCGCTGGCCCAATCTAACAGGAGTCAGAGGATCTGATTGTCAGAGAATTCTGACACTGAATGCCCTGAATGTTTTGTCAGTATATTATCATGAATGAAACTTGACTTCCAAACATCATTAATAACAAACTGCACCCATTGTTGCTTAGTCACGTTCCTGGTTTGGTTGTTAGAATCTATCAAATCATTCTTTTGTTACAAAAGGGCATCAGCTCTCTCACTCACCTGCACCTTGCTGGCCAATTTGCGCCAAAGCATCTGAAGTGTCCAAAACAATCATTCCTCGGCATGGTCAATGACGATGATTGACAAGATGATGTTTGTTGTTGTTTGTTTGAATAGAACCACTCATGGATTTTCTGCTCTACAGTACAGTGACCTAATAAACTTAATGTTCCTAGTCAGTCACTGACAGAGTTGTAAGTCGTATGTGCCAATCACGAGTCTGGCTATTGATGTGCAACTGAAGTCAACCAAAGTAAATTGTTCTTTTCAGTCAGTTGTTGCACTGTACTTGACATTGAAGGACTGATTGAGCTAATCCTCAACTTGACTGAACCGAAGTGTTTTCCCCCAAAGTTGTGAAAGAATTTCAGCAGGATTAATAGCTGAAGGTGATTCCTAAATGGCGAGTGGCAATGACACACCAATGGCGGCGTCAAGCTTTGACTACGGATCCTACTTGGACAACTTAGACAATGAGCCTGATGCGCAGCACGACGGTCGTCGTCGCCGACCACCACAAACATATTGGCCTCCTAGGCCGGAGTGGAACTTCCCACTTGACCCAGAGAATGTGATGAACCGGGAGGTGAGCCTTGACTCATATGCCAAAAAGAATCGTGGTACATTGCGCCACTTCTTCAATCACTACCCTGTGAAAAAGGATGTCTATCCCCCTATGGTTCACGGGCAGCCGGAAGGTGTGGTACCCAAGACCCCTTCACCATCCATTCCGACAAAACCGAAGTTGAAGTTGAAGAACAACATGGTTCCCAAGACACCTTCTCCGTCTCAACGTTTCAACAAGAAGGACAAGAAGTTCAGCCCAAACCCTTCACCGGGTTCAGTGGGTTCAGATTCAATGAGTGTGTCAGCAGATGGGTCACTTGGGCGTTCACTCTATCAGGGTGGGGGCCGCACGCACAACCCAGAAGGGCTTCCGTTCTTGCATGATGATGGTATGGCGCCTGATGATGACAATGACGTGTTCATCAGCAGCCAAACCAGCACAAGGATGGGTATCAGCCCTCCCTCCGCCACTAAAAGCCCTTCGCCAAAGACAAGCTCAGTGGCTGACACGATCCGCCGCAAGCGCACCTTTCACGAAGGGCCAGGACAAGCATCAGAACCAGTGGCAGTGGCAGCTGATGATGGCAATGGTAAGCGCAATTCCAATGCCAGCCGTTCCTCAACCACCAGTGCATCCAGTGGCCATCACAATGTGACGGTGGAGTGCAAGTTTTCGTTCAACATAAATACCAGAAATGAGTAGATAGCTGCTGCCATCTGCGCAGAATCGGGAGGTGAGATGGGCCAAATGGTATCCAAATACAACAATCATCATCACCAAGTAGTTTGTACTTGTTTATGTTCTTTTACATTGGTTGACTCTACACTTGAACTTGACTCGACACGTTTCAATTCATTTTGTGATGGGTGGCCCAACTCCCTTATGACCGCAATTTGTGGGGATCCCCTTCCGCTCAGACTCACGACTGTCCAGCAATAGTCAGTTAGATCATCTTTGCGGGCATCAGTCCAGAAAAAATAATGTTGCTAGTACAGCCATGCAACTTGTGACACTGCGACTGACGTGGTTTCAATTTTATGCCTATTCCAGCACCGGCCAACAAGAGATTATTATGATTATGGAAGCTCACTGCTCCTTGACACTACTATGTTGCAATAATGTTTTTTTGTTTGGTAGGCGGTGTCTGGAACCAATAATAATTATACCAATGACCTCACAAAACAACCATCAAAATCACATGGTTGAAAAGGCATTGGAAAGGCCACACTGGCCCAATGAAGACGATGGAGTTGGACTGCACTGACTGTCCAAGATGCTGAGAGATCAGAAATGCAATCGTCAACGGCACGCGCGGCCTGACCGGGCAGCACTAGGGGGTGAGGGAGGGCGATGTAGTTTCCAATTGTGTTCTAAAGATAATAATTTTTGTTCTTGAAAGTAAGGTATTTAATTTACTTGGCCACGTTCACACTCCTGAGAATCTGAGAACCGAACGTTCTGTTTAGAATCAGAATTCGTTTCACCTCAGACTCACTTTGACCGACTCTGCCACTCACAACTCGACTGAGACTCTACCTGCAAAAGCGTGCCTCAAATCCGAGCTGACCAAACCGAATCTTGTCAACGCAGCTTGAGTATAGAGGCATGAGTCCTTGGTGGGGCAAATCTGGCTGTCAAAGTGAGCCGTAGTTGAAAATACAAGACTTGTTCAGATTTGACAGTGTGATTGACTGATGGAGGTCCTGTATATCATCTAGTGGATCAAAATGAGATTCTTATGACAGTGACTCAACAAACTGAGCTTGTTTGAATCTAGGATTGTTCAGGCTATGATGTTCGTACTAGTGGAATTGACTCGCCTGCAGTTGAAGCTCTGAGGAACTTGGGAAACCGCCACAATCTGGACCCGTGTGAATACTTGCCCCTCAAAACGCGCAAAACACTTGGAGGGATGCTGGTCCCTCGGCAGCACTGACTCAGTGACTCACTAAAAGAGTCAGCTGTTTGACCACGGATGCGTGACTTATGAATGACAGGTGTTCATTGCGGGGGTGCAGTTCTGACCTGCTGTTTGGGTTGTAAGTAATGATTCAAGTCGTAGTAATTTAAAATACTAGTCATATATGAGACGACAAGGCACTGCCTGCAGCAACAAATAATATGCTGGCTGTAGTGTGTCGGTCACTGATGATTGTTTTGATGTCGAGTCGACTCGAATCGAGTTCAATGAAACAATATCCAAATTATATCAATAGTAACAGTGACAGTGACGTGACGTGAGTAGGGAGAGGCTAAGCTGATTCACTCACTATTAATATTATTGTTCTGTGTCTACATCGTTTTGCCGGTTGTTCAGGCAACCGAGGTTTCTGTTCGTGATCGATGCGATTACTGATTGCTCAGGCACTAGCCCAGGGGTTGGACATGTCTATGATGGATACGTGGGGCATTGGTTTGCTTTCACTGAGACTTGGCTGAGCAATCACACTTCGAATCAATCAATGAATCCATGTCGTCGATGACTGACCAGTCACCGGGCGGCGGCCCGCGGCCGGAGACCGCCTGGACTGTGATACATTACAATATAAATTAGATCTAATTAATGTCTTCAATAAAATAAACATTTGTCGGTATAGTCAGTCTGTCAGTGACAGTCAGAGCTGTGACATAATGACCTTAACTTAAACTCAACCAACAATGGACAACTGTTGAATAGGTGCACAGGTAATCAAGCAGTAGTATGCCGGCCGGTAGCTAGTCCAACTTGGCAAGCCGAGCAGCTAGTTCCAAGGCGTCCTGCCAAGAAGTTGCTGCCTGGGGAGCCGCTCGACGACGTTCGCATGCTCAGCCCCTCTGCGATGGATGAAAGGCCAATGTTGACAGTGGCTACTTGGCAGTGAATGACAATCCGTTGCAAACTGAACTGCCAATCCCACAAATCGGGCAAGGTGAAGTCCACACATCCAGAATCAGGTTTATTTATTGAGAACAACTATAATTGAATCGAACAGACTCAGGACATGATTGCATACATGGGGGATGGAACGTTCAATGTAATGTTCAGTCATTGAGTCATTGTCCCTTCAAACTATTATTGTGACAAGCTGCATCCGCCCAGGTCGCAGATGAAGACAATCTGCCATTCAAGCTGCTGCATACCCTCAATTATGCTGGCTTCCGAGTTCTGATAACGCCAGAGTCAACGCATAGCATGTGGAATGACTGCAAGAACTCGATCAGACGTGCGTGTTATCAGCATACTTTGCTTCTATCCTCTACGCTCTCCAACGCAGCCCATGGGCCATATGGGTCCGGCAGGAACCAGCAAAGCATACAAGAGGCTGCTTCTAGCCTATCAAAATCTCTGTCGACTGAGGAGTTTGAGGAGTTGGTTGACGCTATGCTTAGGGACCGCAACCTACATGAGACTGACGACTATGACATCCCTGGAATTCCGACAGAGCCTGCTGACATCCCAGAACTGGACTGCGTCCGACGATTGCCCGTCTATGCCCCCAAACAGAACCATATGGTTTAATATTTATTTTTCTAATCTATATAGTCCTTTTATTTTTGCAGCTCACCACCTGCCAGCATTGTTAGTTCATATGAGCTGCCGAGGTGAAAACCAAATCATGGTTTGCCAGTGTGGCAGTATTACACTACATATGCGACAATTGGTCATTGATGGGGGCTGTGTTGGACCATGCCCTTTCTACTGATGATGGAGTTTCCTGACAATTCTATTGAATTGTTTTTCATTACTATGTATGCATTTTGTATGGCAATTTTCTGGCCCATTCATTTAGACACTGTAGCACTGGGCTGCCTGGCTCGTCTTTGTTACAACTTACGTCAATCACATTTATACATGATCCCGCCAGGTTGACGGACCATGGAGAGACGCAGCTACCCACCAGCAATCCGACAGCGACGTCCAGAGCCAAGCCGCCAGTGAAGATGCAGACGCTGAAAATGCAGATCCTGCTGGTGATGGTGGTGGTATGGGCAACCGCCCCCAGAACAAGAAAGACTTTGAGAAGTTGCGTGCCCAATTTCAAAACACTATGTACTTTTGTGGGCATCTCTACAAAGACACGTCTTTGCGGGATGACATGCGCATGGTTGCGTGTGCAGTGGATCCATACATAGACGAATACTCTGCCGCTTTGCAATGCCAAAAATCATCACAGGAACCATGTCTACATAAAATGGCCATGTGGCTGGTCAATCAGTCAGTCACACGAATCAATCGAGTCGTCAGTCACATAAATGAAATTCATTTATTGTTGTTCGGTTGGTTTGTGTAATAGAGCTTTGTTCGTCTGCGTCTGCAATAATACTAGATTGGACGTGTCAGCCTTGGCCCTTGCAGGAGAACAATTGTCAATGGCAAGCCAGACGTAGTGGTGGTGAATGGTTTACAACCGCTCTGAAGTCCATCGCACAAATCCATGATGACTCTGTTGTGGGAAGGTTCATTAGCTGTGATGTGCCTAGAGGGCGTGAACGTTATACTGTGGATGAACCTTGGCTTCTGGAAGAGAAAACCAGGCTTCAAGATTTCTGGACATTGCTATCAGAGCTTGCAGCTGCTCGCTGCTGGAGCCAGATTTGGTATTCGATGTCCCTACCAAACCCTGGCGTCCTCCATGAAAATCGGGATTCCGCGCAGCTGCTGCTCAACTACCATCGCAAGATCTGGAATGCGGTCCTGACAGTTGAATCAGCAGTCAAGGGCCCGAAGCTGCCGAAAGCTGTCAGAAACATCTTGAAACAACGGTTGTTGGACATCTCATGCAATGGATCGCAACTGGCGCGTGAGTTGTTTTTGGAATACACCAGGCTCTCATGGGACGCCTCAAACAAAGAGCTCTTGCACATGACCCAACAGGTGTTTGGAGGGCCTTGTCAGACAAAGTATCATTTGGAAGATCTTTTTGCGCATTTGGCAAAAAGTCAGAAGGCGTCGCACCAGTCCACAACAATCAACAAGTTTCTCGTAGAGTTTAGTCAAACAAACATTTTCGTTGTGATATTGCAGTGATTTGAATTTAACTTAACCTCATCCGTCTAGTTTCGTGACTTAGAGGCCCAATTTTTTTAAACAATAATAATAAGTATCTAGATGCAATATAGCAACAGTAGCTGCCTAGTAGTCAACTAGACGTATTAGTATGTTGGCAGAACCCGAAAATTGTGTTTTACACTGAGGTGGACCCGCTTCCTTTACGCTACAACTTTACCTTCTCTGAGGGAAACTGGATGGAAGCAAGTGGTCACGAAATACGAGGATCATTGCGAAGAGAAAGGCCAACTCTCATCACAGATTTTGAAGGGGAAGACTTTCAAGACTAGTGACATCCCTTCTGAATTGAGGACACACATCAGTGACGCAGTGAAGCAGGGAAAGGACGATATCAAAAAAGCAGGTACCCTTTCCAACCAACGTGCAGCGGCTGCTACAGCGTGGGTCCTCCAGCATGAGAAGACCAATTTCTCTGCGGCCACCATGTCATGGACAGGCGTGACAAATCAAGTGTGATGCCGCCCCAAGAATCTAAGAAGATCAGTTTCTGAACTTCATGAATCTTAGTCAAGACTCGGGACCCGACTAAATTACGATTAATTGCTATGCTTTATTTGTTAAACTAACTAATCTAACTAACTCGGTCAGTGAGTCGTTTGGGTTCGAATCGACCCAAATCTGAAACAGGAATCTTCTTGATGAAGCACCATGTCTTTGTCAACACCAGCAATGACAATGTGCTGCTGTCCCTGGGGTTCAGGACGTGCGCTGCTCTTGGAATCAAGCTGGTGACACACAACTTTGACGGATCTGTGTCTTGGTTTTAATCTTGAAACTATGGGAACCCGATATCATTGAAATTTATCATATGTTTTGTTAATTCCACCAGGTCCAACCAGTGTCAGTGGTAACCAATAGTCTCAGAATTCTACTTTATTTGAAAACAACTTAACTTATATACTAATCAGTTAATCGATTGACTCACTACAAAACAAGGTGTACAGTGTACACTGTTACATCTGAGTGTTTGTTGTGACTCACTGGAATTCGCATCGATTCTGAGCCCGAAATCTTGCAGGAAATTGGTGTTTTGTCTCAAGCCTGTGTCAATTTGCAAGTGAGGTCTACTTGACTGTTGACAAGCATCCACCTTCAAACTATCCGAGATGGATGTTCAACCACGCGTTGCCTGCGCTGGATGACCCCAGTGAACGTGGATGGATGCATTTGCCTGTTGAAATCCTACATCCGTATGAAATCCCTGATGGTTTGCGACTGAGTCACGGGGTGGTCATGGCAGTGACTGGGGAGCCCCAACCGTTGATTCCAGCTGCTGTCAAGGCCGGAATCTTCTTGACTCTGGACAATCTGAGGAGCTTATATGCCCGTTACAAGTTTAAGTTACCTGACTCCGGTCGGGGCAAGAACGGCGGCTACATCAAGAAGGATTGGGCCGAGGCTTTTGTTCAATTCCTTCACCCAAGCGCATCTGACTCAGAGAAAGCAGAGATGGTCCGTTCGATAGTTGGCCGTGATTGCAACCACCTTCGGAAATCCAAGGTGTCAGTTCACTGCGCTGATATCCTGCGGGCCTTTGATGGCCTTGACAAGACTGATCAGGCTGAATTTAGTGATTTGGTGGCAGTTGCAAAAGATGAGCAACTGCTGGCAGACAGAAGGGAACGCAATTCCAGAAAGGCACAGGCTCCAAAAGGAGACATACAGCACGTCACTCCCAAGCTTCTTCGAAATTTGTGTCCTCCAACTTCAGCGGTACGAATCAGCAGACACCCAGTGCTGAAAAGATATCAGTGTTTCTACACAGGAAAAGATGTGGAATCCGGTGACTAAAACAATTTGATTCAACACGTTTTGAATCATGTGAGTGTCCTAAACCAGTCAACTATTTGTCCTGATGAGTCTTGTTGTCAAACAGTTTTTATTGTTCCATAAGTGGTTCTGATGAATTAGACTAATTTCTTAAGTAGAGTGCGAAAGGTTGGTCAACTACTATCAGCTTAGGCGAGATGCGCACATGGTCGCACTCAACCTATTGGCATGGCAAGAAGAGGGCGCTCACTGAATACGCGGCCCTGAAGACAGTGATCGAGTGGGCATGGAAGGTGCATCGGACACTGTGCCCTGAGGAAACTGCTGCAGAGCACCTCGGTGGTTGTTTATTTGAATACGAATTCTGAAGGAATGAATTATGAATTGAAGTGAATGCGTCAATAATTTATAGGCCATGGCCAGGCATCTGACTGACCTGAATGCTCATTCGTTGAATTCTGAGGCCCACGGCTGATACTGTGCGCTCAGTGGTGAACGAATTCACATGTGACACTGGCTTTTTGAAGAGTTCTGATGCCGATGTCATGGGGACACCTTCCAAGAAGAGCGAGGCTCCCGTGACAGAAGCGGAATCTAAGGAGCAAGAACCTTCAATGAAGAAGGCAAAGACATCGAAAGAGCATTCAGAGTTGAAGATGCCAAAGGCATCAAAAGAAAAAAAGGACAAAACCAAGGAGGAAAAGATGCCGAAGGCATCAAAACCTTCTTCGAGCTCAAAAGTGGCCAAGAAGCACGTGAAGAAATGAATCGCGTGTGTTGAAAATAGTGACCAAGGCAGGGCACGGCAGACATGTATCTGCAGAAACCATGTTGGATGGGACTGCCTTCTCCTATATCAACTTTTATATACCTCTTATTGTAACAATGAAGGCGGTCCCATCCAACAGGGTATGCTAAGCTTCCTGTGAGCAACTTGGCAACAATAGACATATTATGCGGACGGACAGACGGACAGACCGCGAAACGCCAGAGCAGACTAGTTCAGAGCCAAGGCCTGACCAGAACAACCAGTCAACAGATATCCGACATTACAGACATCATGCAGTAGATTTGACTGGTGCAGGACATGTTTCACAGCAGTATCACCTGGACCCTGCCGGTAGTAGTGAAGACTACCGGCATTCCGGTACTTCTGAAACTGTTGATCCACGCTTTTGTTTTGTTGTCAACTTTGACGATGGATTTCACCATGCACTTCTTTGAGAATATGCGCACTGGAGGTACAGTCCAACCTGCGTGAATTTCGACAGTGGCTGTACCAGAGCGATGGGTTCGAGGACCGCCATTATGCGTCTAGTGAAGGCATGTAGACGTCGCAAGAACTCATACAGGATTGATGCTTCATTCGAAACTTCGTCAAGTCCATTCTCAATTGCAAACGGCGAGCAGTCCAACGTCCGTGAGAAGCTTGTGATCTATTTTCAGAATGACCAGGCACCCACTGGGTGGATCTCCACTGCAATTGACATTTTAGACCAAGGAGACGTGCCAATCCTATTCAGCGTCGAGCAACTTCGCAACCTCCGCATGTCCATTGAACATACTCCTGTCGGCGACTATCTAACTTGTCCACTGTTCGGCTTGAAACGCTTTTCGTTGCCAGTGAGCGCTTCAATCCATAATGTCTTAGACCTCATGATGTTTGCCAGCGCAGCCAGAAAGCCGAATCGCAGTTTCACAGTAGCGAGTCCTTCTTTTGCATCATGTCCAGCTTGCAATGGCAAGCGTCGCGCACATGCGTATAAGGATGGATGCAAGAAGGCAGATGTGTCTGATGTTAAGAAGGACAAGCCAGCAATCGAGGTGCCAATCGATCCAGTTGCACTTCTGACTTCTGAGAGCGCACGGACCGACATTCCGGTCTCTTGTTCAGAGTGACGGAACCCAGATTGGCGTTGAAGGCTTTACCTACTCCTCTTTTGCATGGCAACCAGTCATGTCTGGTAAGATTGATTTTCTAGAACTGTTCGCTGGTTCAGCACGGTTGACTCAAGTAGCTGCTGTGAATGGTTTACGAGTTGGCCAGCCTTTTGACCTTCGCACAGGCTTTGACATTTTAACCAATGACGGTCGTAAGAGGACGATGGAGATCTGCGAGAAACAGAAGCCTAAAGTTATTTTTACGGCGCCGCACTGTGCTCCCTGGAGTCAGATGACCAACACCCATGATCGCTATGCTAGAGACCAGCGTCGACAGAAGTTTCTTCCAATGTTAGAGTTTTGGTGTCGCATTGCCTTGAACACGGAGGTCATTTCATCATTGGGAATCCTGCTTCTTCACTTCTTCAGCACTGTGGTACACCAGATGTTTTCAACGTGTTTTGTCACGACGTGGTGTTACCTATGGCACTCTTGATATGTGTTCATTTGGAATGAAAGACCCTAACGGCTATTTCTACAATAAACCAACATCTCTTTTGCGCAATTTCGACGAAGACAATATGTCACCTGTATTCAAGAGATGCAGTGTTCAGCGCCAGGCTTTGGAAGCAGAACGAAGTTAGCTCAGCTTTATCCGTATCATTTCTGTTCCAAGCTTTTTCGCTGTTTTTTGCCGCTGGGAAGCCATCATGGATAATTTCACGCGCAGACTACCGTAGCTGTAGATTTTCTTGAAGGACTCGACATTCCGAGCCTGGAATCACTGCAGAGCTTCCTGATAGAAAACACGGATGGAGAATATGTTCACTTAAGTGAATCTGATAGTGTGACAGTCAAGGATGTTTATGTTCGACGTTTGATGAATCGTGTCAACTCACCCCCTAAGGGACATATAGTCCTTGGTCCGAGTCATTGCATATTGCGCATGATGTTTCACATGTGCGCCAGGTTTTTGCACCAACCATGGCATTTGAGCACGCCACAGTTGTGCGAGGTACCTGTGAACCGCTAAAGGTCAGGCACCGATATACCGCAGGTGTACTATTTTTATGGCGTAGGAAGGGTACAACTAAGCTGTACATTCAATCACATCCTTTTGGCGATTGAAGTTAGTGGAGTCAAACTGGATCTGTGTACTCTTTTGGAACTCTGATGGTAGTGTGCATTCCAAGCCCGTTACACTGCCTGTCATCACTGACACGGTTGGTGCTCCACCAGCACCACCTCCTGGTTGGGAACATGTCACAGTCTGACCACGACACGCCTGGAGACATTCCCGATGATCCGTTCACACCACCTCCAGGACCACAACCACCATCACAGTTTCCTCCTGCTATTGCAGCTCCTCCTGTTCCAGATTCCTTTTTACCTTTGACAGCAGTCCAGCCAGACACTCCTGTTGTCCCAACTTTGGTCGTTCCTCCTCACGTCCCTGACACCCACATGACATCACCTGAGAAACGACAACGTGGTTTTTCCTGTGTCTGAGCGCCCTTCGACGAAAGCTCGTCCTACTATGCCAGTGCCACAGATGCCTGACTCGCCTACACCTCCTCCGGTTCCACCGAGCAACCATCTCGGGGGTGATGATGAACTCGCATTTTTTCGCCGCCGGTCGTCTCGAACACGTCCAAGCCAAAGAAGAAACCTGATGTTGAACTTGAGGACGAAGACGAAGACGCGGGTGATCCTGATGCACAGCCGTCCGGACCATTCGCTGACGATGGTGATCAGCCAGTGTCACCGCAAGATGAGCATGTAACGTCCGACATTCCGGATGTTGTGAATGATGTGGAAGAAGAAGAGGAAGAGAGCGACGGTGATTCAGATGAGACCATTGACTATCGGACTATCGTGACCTGTTTGTGGACGAAGGTGGTAGTTGGAGTGGGCTGTCTGCCGAGCAGAAACTATGCAGCGACACTGGTTCGTTCACAGTCCCACGATACATTAATTGGTTTGCCTGTCGATCTCAAGTCTGTCCCGTCCTATGCTGACTTCGTGACGCCGTCTTCATACATTGCAGAGAAGAAGCGTCAGCTTATTCGTAAGAACTATGCTACCCAGCAGGAAAAGCGACAGTTTGCCAAGCAGTTCCTTGAAGCCAAAAAAAGCCGTGCGTAAGTCATGGTTTGATAACGATGTCTTTGAGCTTGTTGACGTGCGTAAGTTGAAGATTAGGAACTTTGTCGCTGGCCGCTGGGTCCTTACGATTAAGAAGGATAAGGATGGTAATTTTCTCAAGTGTAGCTTAAGGGTTTCCAAGATCGACAGAAGGATACCCAGCAGACCGACAGCCCTGCGGCCAGTCGTTCTGGTTCTCGTTGCGCGACGCAATTTGCCGCGAACTGCCGTTGGGATCTGTACCACAGGACCTTAAGACGGCCTTTTTGCAGGGCGAAGCATATGATGAGACAAGAGACATCATATGCCAGATCCCAACTGAATGCGGATATCCACCACGCATAGGAGCTAAAATGAAGAAATCCGCATATGGCCTGAACGGCGCACCTCGTAGATGGTGGCAGCTTGTTGATAAAGCGCTCCTTAGTTACGGACTTGTTACACTTGTTCCTACACGGGCCGATCGATGCACATACATTTTGTATGGCAACAAGATGCTATCCAAGGATTCACCCAAGAACTCTCCGACATTCCGGAAATTTTCCACTTCGTCTGATCCAGTCCAAGAAGCCCTCGACATGTTGTTAGATCTTGTAGCGCAGAATAATGCACAAGGCCGAACGCCGCATGGCTTTATTTGTCTGTCTCCATGTTGATGACTTGGTCAACGTTGAGACTAGGAAACTGGCCTTTAAGAATGTGAGAATCCGCGAGATTGAGAAGATGCGCTCAGAAAAGCTTGACCGTCGTCAGCTCCATGGCACGCAAAAGATTGCAGCTGAATGCTGGTTGAACTAGACTACCTTAGCACCAACACAGAATGGCGTGATCAGGAAACCAGCTTCGCTTGCCTCAAGAAAAAGTCTCTCTCCGAAACTACGGATGAAGACATTGATGAACAAGATCTTGACGATGATGAGGCGGACGATGATGGCATGGACGTCGATGCCGGCATTCCGGCCGACGATGATGAACAGCAAGTCATGAGTAGATGA